ACGATGCATACAAGAAAATTGATGTTCCTCACAAGGTAATTTCTTTTAAAAAAAAAGTATTTTCATTTTATTTTTAAAATTCAAAAAACTTGTAATTCACCTACTGTAAATTAAAATAATCCAATCAGTATATTGAAAAAATATCTCATCACAAACAAACAAATAGAAATAGAAATTAATTTTATGATTAAAAAGGTAGGGAACCCACAATCCAATCTTGGAATCTAGTGTCAAGATTCAAGAAATCTTTTCCTCGCAAATCTTCTCGATGCAAAGTAAACAAAGATTCCTTCAGTCCAACAAGTAACCAAAAAAAAAATCTATTAAACGATCATTTAAAAACTAATAAATCAAGTTTCTGTAATCTTCTTGGCACCACAACTTGCCCACCTCATTTTCCAATGATTCGAATGCCACAATAGAAAAGGATGGAACGCAAGAAGCTCAGTAGTAAGGCCGTCTCATAGTCACTACCTGCCTGTCTTTTCAAGCTTCAAAACAAGTGGAAAAACAACATACCATTGTTGGTTCAAAAGCTGGAAGTTCGTCTCAATAAATTGTCGGGCCAATCACATGACTCATCCTATTAGTCGAGCATAGTTAACGCTACCGTGACGCAATTTATCTCTTTTACTCTCCTCTTGTCCGCTATCCCCCCTTGGTCTCTGGTTCAACCTCTCAAACTCTAACTCTCCATGATTTTCCCAAATCCAAATATGAAAACAAGTTTTCTTGCTTCACGTTCACAATCAAAGAGATGATTAAATAAAAATTGAAAATTACTTGTGTTCAGTGTTTTTCTCGCTAAAGCTTTAAGGCTTGAAGTGCCAAATCTCCCTTCTCTAGTTCTTCGGTTCTCCCCTTCTGCGGCTGATTCTCTTGTGTATGGGGCACAATTTCTCAAAGCTAAGTTTCTGTCTTGAAACCCGCCACTCTACTAGCCTATTTTCATTTTTAGCATTGTTTTATTAGATTTGATAACTTGAAATGATATTGCAATTTTGGTTCCCTTTTGCTTGGTGAGGATCGCTTCTTCATTTATCTTATGCATGTTTGCTTTGTCATGAAGATTGGATTTGGGCTTCGGGTTTAATATTAGTTGGGATCATTGATTTGATTTGGGCCACGCTTCATGGGGTTCAAAAAAAACAGAGAGAGATAAGTAGAGGCATGATGCAAAATCTACCCCACATATAATATACATCCATGTAATTTTTTCAACTTTAGGGTTGCATATTGATCATGACCTGGGTCAATCCCCGCTCCTTTGTATTCTTGAGTTTTGGTTCCTTTGTTTGTTCTCAATAAATTATAGTATTCTGGAGTTGGCGCCTGCAATAAAATAATTTGAACCTATTCATCAATTACGATGTTCTCGACGAGGCTTATTGCTGGGATTGTGGATAATGGGAGAATTCATCCATCTAAATTATGGAAAAAATAATAATAAAATATTTTTGAATTATATAAATAATATTTTAATCCTTCAAAATACCATAATTATCTTAAAATCCTTAAAAACTTGTCTGTTATTAAAAAAATAATGTAAATGATTAAATTATTTTTAATTTAAATATTAATTATCATTGACAAGTTTTATTTTAAAATTCAGAATTTTTTTCTTAAAATTATAAAAATTTAATAATAATTCATAAGTTTGCATTTGAAATCCTGCTATTCTTTTAATATTATAAATATCAATTGTCATTCATAAGTTTTATTTTAATATTCATAATTTCTTTTAAAATTGCAAAAATATAACATCAATTCTTAAGTTTGCATTTAAAATTTTGAACTAAGAATAATTTAATCATTTCTATTAATTTCTTAATAATAAAAAAGTTTCTAAAGACTTTAAAAAAATTGTGATATTTTGGGAGATTAAAATGCTACTTACATAATTCAAAAAAAATTATTATCATTTTCTCTAAATTACAAGCCCTAGTTCAGAAATATTGGAAACTCCAAGATGAAATTCGTGTAACGCAATGTTTTCAAAATTATTTTGTTTTGTTCTTCCTAATTCCAATCTGCTCTAAACCTATATGTAGCATATCATTCCTTCCTATCCTTGGTTGCTTCAAGGAAATATGATTGTTCTCCAGCGTTGGCTTGAGTTCACGCCTTTAAATAAGATAAAAATTTGATATGCTCCTATTGCGATCCATGTCATTGGGCTACTCTTGGATTTATACACATATGATATAGCTTGTGCTGTAGGCCAATCTCTTGGATACTTTCTGGAATGGGATGATAAATGCGCGTTCGATTTTTTTTTTTTTAATATTACATTCAAAAGTAGTTCTAATTATATGAGATCAACACATACCTTCAGCTTACTAGACTAATTTAAAAAAAATTATTTAAACATAAATTTCATTATAATAATTAATTTTTATTAAATTAATTTTTAGTAACTGAACATTTGGCAAACTTACTTTGATTAATAAAAAATTGAACAAGCATTAAGATGGTCACGTGAACTAGGTTAACCCACACAAACAACATAACCTACTGACTATAGTATAGTTGCCATACTTATTTGCTGGGACAAATTTTTGTTTATTTATTTTTGAGATAAAAATGTTTAAAAGTCAATTCTTTTAATCCGAAGACTAATAAACAAATTAAGAAAATTATGCAAAAATCTATCACCAGTAAACTTATTGCTCTAAGGTGCCTTAAATTTGTCTAAGGACCTGAGTCATTTAGAAAAATAAAGATTAATAATTAGGTTACCAAAATGCCATTACTTATTTTTTAAAGGATGTACATTTTTTAAAATATTTAAGTTGTGTTTTCATGAAAACTGAAGATATATTCAAATATCCATGACCATTATCACAAAAAGAATAATTTTTCAGAATATTTAGTTGCATTTTCATAAAAATTAAAGATCTATCTTAATATACATGAATGTTATCATGAAAATTAAAGATATATTCAAATATTTATAATCAATATCATGAAAACATTACCCCATCGTATACAACACTGTCTTATAAATGCAGATTTCTTCTAAGCATGCGGGGAAGTTATCATTAGATGCAAAATATTGTCATGATATTACATATTTTGCTAGGTGCAATTAATTTTCCATGGATTAAAATACAATTTTCTACAGTCATATGCAAATATCTCTTGAAAAAAGCAAATATTTTTCGTAAGTGCACATTTCTTCATCCACGTGCAAGACATTTTTCCATCAAGTGCAAAACCCTATCTCAAGGTGGCATATGTCATCGGGCACAAGACATCTTCTACGGTATGCAAATAACTTCCATCATATGTAAATATCCTGAGTTAGTGCACATTTCTTCCATAAAGAAATTTAACATTTTCAGATATTGATACTAAAGGACCTTGATCATTTTTTTATTCCGGTAAGTGCATATAAGTTATTTATATCGTTCTCAGATATTAACACCGAAAGAGCTTAGTCCTTCCATGGATTCTAGGTTTCTTAGCGCAATAAATTTGTTGACTAGGGATTTTTATTTTTATTTTTTGCCAATGTTGACGAGGATACTAGACAATTTCCCTTAAAAAAAATTGAAATCCAATTTAGGTAATATAAAAGGCCATTATTTGAAATAATAATAACCAAGAATAAGATCATTTAAATTAAAATTCTTAAATGATCAAAAACATATTTGTATTAAACATGTAAAAATTAAATTTTAGAAAATAGTAATCTATCTTAAGTTTTGACACGCGCATGTGTTGAATAATTAGTTTTTTAAATAATCAAACTTATTGATTGTAATTGACACTGTTATTGAGGTTATAATAATAGATGGAAAGTGGAGAGTACATTTTAGTTCTTTTTCATGATTGTAAAATTAGGAGAGTGACAAATAAATCCCATTGAAACGAGCAAATGAAAAATAAATAATACCAAATGATGTTATTACTTTGAAATCCTAATGGAATAATATGACAAACTTTTTTATGAATTTACTTTTTTCGTTTGATAATATAAGATGTAGATTTCATTGATATTAGAAATATTCTCCCTTAAGATATGAAAGGCAAATAGTAGACTTCTCCTACTTAAATTTTTATATACACAAGGTTTGAAATTTAAATATCCAACCACTTGTTTAAGTGACGGCGATCATTACCACTCATGCTAATGTTAATTAATGCGAATTTACTTTGTTGACCCTAAACCCAAAAAAAAAAAGCATAACTGCTAAAACCTGATATGAAGTTGTTAAAAATTAAAGTATAATTGTTAATATAAGAAATATAGTTATTAATTTTATCATGCAATAGCAAGTATTTTTCCTATATTAACAATTTCAGCTTAATGATTAATAACATAGTTAATCATAAATTTAGTTTAAGAATGCAATAACAACCATATTTTTTATGTTAATAATTTTATATTTAATATTAACAATTTTAGTTTAGGTTTTAATTTTTGCACTTTCTATTATTTTGTAAAGGGTTAGAAACATCATTTTGTAAGTATCTAAGACCTTCAGAGTCATTATTTCACTTCACAGTTCTATTTTGTCATTTTCTATCATGAAGGGATTTATTTATCATTTTGCATAATACCTCAGTCATAAAAAATGTATAATATATTATATTCTTTCTAAAGAATATACTCCCTTCATTTTAAAATATAAAGTATTTTTAATTAAATATCACAGTTAATAAAATAGTTATAAATTTTTAAACTAATCTTATCTTTTTATATTTATCATTATCAAACATTGTTTAGTAAATATAAGGTCATTCATTAATAGAAATATTTTTTTAATAAATAATGATTATATTTTGAAAAATTAAAAAATGTCTTTTATTTTTAAACATCTAATCCTTTAAAAAAGCTTTTCTAAACAAAGGGAGTATTTATTTTTTCATTATAAAAAATAAAAAAGCAATGGTCACCCTACACACACATATTTATTAATGTGATAAAAATTATATAAATATAAAAAATTATATTAATAATGGAAATAGAATAAAAAACTTGTGGTCCGAGAAAAACAAAGGATAGAATGAAAAAGGCCTGGCAGCTTGGCGGGGTCGATGATTTTGGGTGCATTACGCGAAGCCGGCGACTGAGAGAACCTCGTTGCCGGCTGTGACAGCGGTGCCGGAGGTGAGAGAAAATCCGTGGCTGGGGCATTAGGGCAAGAACGACAAGAGAAAGTCAGGAAGTCAGGTGGAAGGGAGTTTGGTGCAGCAACGTCGCCGTCGGGTGAAACTTGACGGAGAGAAGGGAATCGGCGACGGAAGTGACAGTGGCAATAGAAAACTGGTGGGTTTGAGTGCGTTGCCGAAATTTTTTCGTTCAAGGTCTGGATCCGCCACGCCTAATCTCTCTTTCCATCCAATCTTTTCAATTATAGTCGTTCTCTGTGACTATTGCATTTGTGTGGAGCAAAGATTTTCGTTTGAGTTAGAGTGGACAATTTGCTGATGTTCGGGTGTGCAAATCTGTCATGCTTATTCTGTGCAAATAATTTTCCACCTATGAAAATGGTTTGAATATTCAAGTTCTCTTCGTTAATCTATCCAAATAATTTAACGTTAAATGGATGCAAAATAAATATTCAATCCATTCCACTTCTGGGCAAATCCGGTACAAATGCCTCTTTATCGACCTGCCCCTTTCCTGGACCCAGCTTTCCCCTGCCCCTGGCGCGAAACATCTCTCCTCCGTTTGAAGGAAGAATTCAAGCAGGTGGAAAGAGGCTGACTTGCATTTGCGTGGAATTTTTCCCTTTGACCGTATATATGTATGTAGTTTACCTTGGGATAATCACGTAGACTTGTAAACCTGTATAGTTATGCCCTTCCAACTAAAGTTACAATTTTCAAACGAGGAAGAACTTCGATGAAAAGACAATGAAAGTTTTAAAGAACTTTTGAATGTTTGCTCTTATTTTGCTCTGCTACAGGCTAAAGCTTATAAATATTCATAACAATTGCAAAATTTGTGAAATAATTGCTTGGTACAATATGCATATTGGGGTTGACTTTGTCCGCACGTTGCCTTTCTCTGAGTCAGTGTAGCTTTCAAAGACTGATGAATGCCCAAAGTAAAGTTTGGGAGCCTATAGTTTTTCTCATATCTGCACCACGACACTAGGTTTTGTTGGATGGTATGCAAAATCTTTTTTTCTTTCTTTCTTTGTTTTTTTTTTTTTTTGTTTTTTTTTTGGTCAAAGATGGTGAGCATATTCTAATCATACATATCTTTAAGGTTTGGAATAAATTGAGTATGGTGACACGTATACAACTCACATCATTGAAGCATGTGCCTTCTGTTCTGCTAGGCATCACTAATTCAGTTTTTCTGACATTAAACATTGGTTTTTACCGAAATTTAGTCTATGTATTGATGGTTATCCTTATTCACAGCTCAGTTTTTAATTAACTTTTGGTCGCATCACCCAGGATCAGAAAGAGCTGATAAAAAATGGTAGTGACGTCTCCACAATATGATAGATTCTCAATGGATTTTGTGATGGGAGGTGTAGCGGCTATTATATCTAAGAGTGCAGCAGCACCAATAGAGAGAGTTAAGCTTTTATTGCAAAATCAAGGGGAAATGATAAAGAGAGGACAACTCAAGAGACCATATTTGGGTGTATCTGATTGCTTTAAGAGGCTCTTGAGGGAGGAGGGTCTGTTTGCTTTTTGGAGAGGAAACCAAGCCAATGTTATACGGTATTTCCCTACACAAGTGAGTTATTAACTTTTTTGACATTCTGATTAATGTTAAAGAACCCCTTCCCTTGTGCTCCTTGATTTGATCTCACTCCCTCGTAGTCACTAGCCAGAGATGAGTGATTTAGTGAGTAGGATTTTAAATGTGAGGATAATTATTTCTTTTAGGCTAACTGAAAATATGTGTTAAAAATAGTGTACCCTTATTTGCTCCTGTATTTAGTACTCTCTGTTGGTAATGGAGGTAATTCTTGCTGGTAAACTTGTGCCTTTTCCTTCCCAATCTATTCTATGCCCAATTAATGTTGGTTTATTGAACTATGTTTGAACAAACACTTAATTGGTCTATAGGCTTTCAATTTTGCATTCAAAGGTTACTTCAAAAGCATTTTTGGGCATTCCAAAGAGAGAGACGGGTATATTAAGTGGTTTGCTGGAAATGTGGCTTCAGGCAGTGCTGCAGGAGCTACTACTTCGCTACTACTGTATCATTTAGATTATGCTCGTACCCGATTAGGTACAGATGCAGTAGAATGCCATCCCAGTGGTCAGCGCCAGTTTAAGGGGCTAGTCGATGTATATTGTAAAACCTTATCAAGCGATGGAATTGTTGGGTTGTACAGGGGATTTGGAGTTTCAATAATGGGAATCACCATGTATCGAGGCATGTACTTTGGGATCTATGACACCATGAAACCTCTTTTCTTAGTCGGGCCTTATGAGGTATGTATCTGTACTTTTTACAGATTATATCTAACTTGCATCCAAGGGGGAATGATATAATTGAATGCTTCAAACGAGCATTTTGAGGTTCTTTTGCAATGGAGTAAGTCTTTTTGGCTAGGCTTTCCATGGTATGTGATTTAAGGAATTTAAAAAATTAGACATTTTTCCCCCAATTGTGAATGTACCTGTTTTTTCTTGCCATAGCCTTCTATTCTTAGATGCCTTGATAATTTGGCTTTTCAATTGCTTAAAGTGATTCAAAGCATTGATGGAGTTCTTTGTGCCATACTTGTGCATTCCTATCCTGAGTCCTTTTTACTGTTGTCCTTCTACAGGGTAATTTTTTTGCTAGTTTCTTGTTGGGTTGGAGCATTACATCGTCTGCTGGGGTTTGTGCTTACCCTTTCGACACACTAAGACGGAGAATGATGATGACATCTGGGCAGCCAAATAAGTATCGTAATACATTGCACGCTTTTCATGAGATTGTGCGACATGAGGGTTTCTTTGCTCTATTTCGGGGAGTCACAGCAAATATGCTTCTTGGTGTGGCAGGAGCGGGGGTGCTCGCGGGATATGATCAGCTGTACCGAATCTCATCAAGACACGGTCTCTAATATGAGCCCAAACGGGGAGTTTTGAAATGAAAGTCTGAATTATTGAGATTTTTATGGTGGCCAATCCATTCAAATTGGTTCACTCTGCTTCCATGGGCTGCAAAAGCTATCCATCAAAATGCCATTTCCTGTGTCTGATATACAATTTAACTACAGATTTTATGGTTATGTATCTACCCATTGAATAGAAAATTGGAGACGACATGGGACGCTGGATTAGACATTTTTCCTATTCATTTCTGATCTGATGCATTGTCATATGTTTTTACTCTCCGTCGCCCCTCCCCCTTCTCTCCATAAATAATAAATTTGTAGAAACATACTGTTCATTTGTTGTATCCAAATTTCTTAATGCAAGTTGTGATTATTAAAGCACCCTTTGGTTGTAGTTTCGCTTTGAAAGAGAAATTCGTACTTTAGTGGGGGAGTTCCTTGTTTTAGTTCAATTTATTTGTCCAAACTATCAAATTTTAGAGAAAAATTAAAATCTATTTTGAGAAGAGGGCGTTCTTCATGTGGCGTGTTCGCGATGACGTTGTAACCATGATCATGGATCCATCATCGGATGAGCATTGAAGACACGACCTCCATGGCCACTCGTCTCATCTTTCCCTTTCTTCTCTGGATTCCATCATTCTGATTCCCCATGCAATATCTCTTCCTCACCGTTGAGATATAGAGTGCTTTGCTGTAAATTGACTGTTTTTTTTGTTTACTACAAGGCCATGATAGAATCATGCAAAAAACTAGAATCAAGTATTGTTGAAAGCCACAAGGCTTATACAATCACTAGGCGGATTATCAAATAAAGAAATATCAAAAGTATCAGTTGAAGTCTTGTAAGCCATGAGGTTAGCACATTTGTTAACTTTTCTATAGGTGTGATCAAAGATTATCTTTTAGTTATGCATGATAAGGTTTTTGATGTTATTGACAATGGTAGAGAGGATGATTATGAGGATAACTCCAATAAATAAAAGATAAGGCCTCTTTAAAATTAAAATAAACATTTATTTTAAGAATTTTAGTATTCCAACAAAGATTGAAACCTTCTAAGATTTCTATTAATTCTGCACGGTAAATTGACTTTAACACAACTAAAAATATCATTAATGTCTATAGGGTAAAAAATAAAAGAGAAAAGTACTGTTACTAAAAACAAAAGAGCAAGGGCAAAGTCACATAATACGGGAGAAGTATAATATAATTTTCTTGGAGTTTCAGCTACAAAGAAAAATACACTTGGTTTATTGGATATATGAAATTCATATGCTAGAGTGTATATATATATATATATATATATCTTCATCACGAATTAATCTTTAATATTAAACTAAAATATGAGTCTCGTATATTTTGCATGAAATCTGATAAATGAACTGAAATATTTATTTTTACAAATAATAAGACTTGTATGCATTTTTCTATATTATACCAATAGTCGTCAAGATCGGAAATCTAACCATGAAAGGCAAATATATTATAATAATAAGGAGGAACATACATCATTGAGGGAGACCTATATATATATATATATATGTATGTATGTATGTATGTATGTGTAGAGCATAAGGAAGTAATTTCCAAGTTCTGATGGATCTTATTATATCTTGGATGGAAACTAAACAGCAGCGATAATTAACGAGTTATAGTTTGTGATTAAGCTCTCCTTCCACCAGTGCCACTCTCTCGCTGGCAGTTAAAGTAAACAGCAGCAACCGGCAAGCCCAAATTATAAAGCTCCGCAAAGTCTCTGGTGTTGAAATTTTGACGCCATCCTGGAGCATACACCGTTTGCCTTCCCGGCTGCTGAAACAACACGAACACGTAACGATGAATCCCCACTGTTGGTCGTGGACTCTCGTAGCACACGATCTCTTGTCCTGTCAAAGCCCCGCACGATTGTTAATTTACTATAATGAGCCACTACACTACGTTGCCCGCGGGACTAAAATGATTCTATTTCAAATCCAACACAACTCTTTTAGTTCAATTAAACAGCAATTGCCGAAGAAAACAAACGAAATTAAAATCATAGGGTTTGAAGAAGATTCTTAGTATTTCAAACATTTATGTAGCCACCGCGTTTGTTTTACAACGACATGGAAGCTGGGGTTGGAACCAAAAAAAAAGAAAAAGAAAAAGAAAAAAAAAGTATATTATATATATCAATACTGTCTACAGTGTGCTTACCGAAGGTTACTCCTGTGCTCGCGGGAATATCAGTGACCAACCTGGTCGCATCCATTCAAAAAGAAAAAGACACAGTTAGAAAAGCAAACATGCTTCACACAGTACGCGTGCGCGACATGCAAAATGTCCGCACTCACAAACGTAAGAATCAGGAAAATTGTTCCGCTTTTAGAAACCAATAAAATTAAACCATTGTTTTCTAAACTTTTAGCGTCAAACCAAGCATTCACTTAATTAGTCCCTTTCTTTAAAGTTGATTTACCTAAACTTTGTCTCACACCCTTTTTAAATTTCTGGCATATTACAAACTTCACGTGTTAACAAAAAGTGATGTAATGATATTTTGGACTTTTACCTTCTAGTATTAAAATGAAACGAATGCCAGATAACGGTTTTGATCAATGCGATTTGAGCTGTAATAGAAAAAAAGAAATTGTCTTCAAATAATGCCCACAGGAGGAGTGAGGAATGAAGATATTCTCGTGGTCAAGTGCTCCTCATATATGCCCCTTTGACAAGTTACTATGCGGGTCAGGGCCAGCGCCATGGAAGTTTATAGGCAAGTAATACGCTAGCCTAGAGCCCCCGAAAGAACTCATATGAGTACCCCTAACACTGGTAGTATGAGAAGATGAAGGGATATATTTGCATAATTATATACTAAATGTCAAATAAAAAAAAATAAAGCCCTACTTCTTCTTCCGTTGGAAACCTTTTCATATTTTCAAGATAATATTTAATTATTGGGTTAGCTTTAACCTAATCATTAATCATTAATTATTAATTATTTTTTTTTTTACAATTTTGACATCATCATTTCTAGCTCTCTCTCACCTTTTGTCTTGACTCTTCCATGTTTTTAAATCTTTTTTCTTGTTTTTATTTTAAAATCTAAAGAAAGCACATTCTCTTCCAATCTTTCTATTCTAGAATACTCTTGGCTTAACAAACATTTTTGTTCCAAATGGCTTGCACAAAGCATATGAACTCGATAAATTGGAGTCTGGAGATAAAAAAAGGTTGGCTTTCGAAGATCTCACGCAACTTCATTCAAAAGCTCATCACATTCATAAGCCTTTTTTCGTTGCAATCAGGTACGTTTGTTCCTATCTTTATTTTTTAAAATACAAAAAACTATGTGTAGTGTGTTTTTTTTATTATTTCTGATGGTAAAAAATGTCAAATAAAAAGTATGAATTTGGCTGTGAAAGATTAAAGGAAGAATATTAGATTGGACTAGCCTTATCATTTATTAAGAGTGAAATGTTACATGATCATAAAATTTTACCATCTCAGTTTGCAACTCAAAAAATTAGACAAGTAATATAATTATTGATAATTTATTATATATTAGGCTTTTTTACTCACTTAACTTTAGACCTTAAAATCTGTTGACACGGACCATGTAGGATCATGGAGAACAACTGATTTTTTGAGCGAAAACGTAAGCATAGTACTCCCTCCGTTTAAAAATATAAAATATTTTTTAAAAAATTAAATATTTAAAAATATAAGCCATTTTTAATCTTTTGAGATATAATCATTATTTTTTTAAAAAATATCTCTATTAATAGCGACTTTATATTTATTATAGAGTGTTTAATAGAGATAAATATAAAAAATAAAATTAATTTAAAAATAAATAAATACTTTATTAAGAGTAAAATTTAATTAAAAATATTTTATACTTTTAAACAGGAAAAGTATCTTATTTTACCCGTTATTGGATTGCCGTAATATCTTAATTTTTTTCACTCAATTTTCAAAACAGTCGAAACAGTACAGTTAAAATTTTAAAATTTCAAAGACTTTCGTATCGGAGTCGGATGCGTGTCAGAGCAAGAAAGCCGTCCAGCAGGTGATGAGTGATAAGTGAGATGATAACTGATGATGACGTGTGTGTGAGATTTGAGGATGACGTGCGTGAGAGGGAGGGAGGGAGTCATGTGATGACTCACCAGTGCAAGTACTCTCGTAAGTTTGGGTCACTTGGGCTAGGTGAGTCAGGGTCGACCATGACCTGCATTGTGTTCCAATTAAGAAACTGAGACAATAGTTTATTTCACCAGCAAAGCAAGAAGGCAAGCCAGTGGCCTTGCAGGGAACAAGATAAGAAGGAATAATGGAAGTACCAGAGTGTAGCAGGTCCTGAGGTCGCGTCCGCCGCCAACTTCGATCCTGGGTGGGCTAACAACCTGCGCGGGCCTGAGCTCACGACTATTGATGACTTCTCTGTTATTGGGGTAGATGACCCTCATAGATACTGACCTGGTAAAGGGCTCCACTACATCCCCAATTACTCTTCCTACTGCCAGAGGATCCACTTCTCTTCTCATTGGTTTGCTGCCTCGCCCTCACTTGTACGCCGCTACTGCCTTGCTCACCCCTGAACCTCTATTTATATCTCTTCCGTGGCCCCTTCAGCCTTCAACATTTTCTATCAACAGAATCTCTTTCCCTGTTTTCCTTCCTCTTTTTACTTTTTATTCGTTGACTTTCTCCCCCTCATGTCTGCCATATTCTTTGCTAAAGCTTCCAAATATTAGTTGTGGCGTAGAAAATAACCCAAGTATCTTACACTCATCATTTTTTCGAGGAACAAAGCTCGAATTTTACTTCCCCCCCCCCTTTCTATCCTTTAAAAATATGTTATTCAATTTAGATCATTTTTGCCCATTTTAAAATTTAAATGCATATTGAATTTTTTTTTCAAGAATTATATATAAGGAATCATTTTTTGTGACAATAAATATATCCTGCTCAATTTTCAGAAGCCAAGTGGTCCACTATGAGTTAATTCATTAAATAACTTTACTAATAATTTTTTTTTGGTTACATGACACGCGTCATAAGCTTTGTGCATGCCAATTGATGGGCCTAGATGATTGCAAATCAGATATTTTAAATCCAAATGGATTTTGTTATCATGATCATATATATTCACTCTTTGGAGATGCCAGATCCAAAGAAGGATATTAGTTTGAAAGAATTAAAAGTACACTAGCAGAAAGTTAAAGAGAGAACATAGAACTTGTAGTTTCATGAAATGAAGGGAAAGTGTATTGCAAATACATAAATGTAATTAGAAGAATGGAAAGAATGAGTTGAAAAGTTTAAGACGAGTAATAAGAATGGTAAATTGTTGAGATGGGTGGCTTGAGGGGATTGAAGCGGAAGGGATTTGAAAGCATGTTGGTGGGGAAAGGGAGCAATGAGGATCAAGAAATGGAGGTTTGTCTGTCCATAGACTGAGTGTGAGGCATCAAGCTAATTTAACAAGGTGGCGACACCGCATTTGATTAATGACCCCTCGACCATTATGGGAATCAACTCAGATCACCCGTTTCTCTTTGGCACCAGAATGGCAATCCCAACATCTCATTCCCATAATTCACTGCCTCTTATCTCTTCCGTCATTATTCTGCTCCTTTCTCTTCTTTTTACACTTACACATTTGACCGGTCCGATCCATTTTAAGTCTCTTTGCTTTTACTTCTTGCTATACCATACGAAGTAAGGAAGTGATGCGTCCATGGATCCTCAAGTCTTTGATGTAGACTTGATAAGGAGATCCCATGCTTGCAAAAAGAAATGGGGAATATATGCAACATACGTCAGCACTGGATTAATAGAGTGGGGGAAAAATTCTCATATCACTTTAATCACCACATGGCCAGGGCACTGAACTAACCAAACTAATGTTTAACGTATTGTTATCATTATTAATGCAACGTACATGCAACATCCAGGTCAGGATCACTTTTGACTTTCAACTACATATTTCATTTTACAATGTGCTGGCACTCGACCGAGATTCAAAGAAAAACGATTCCTTGTGGTTGTTGGTTTGTGCGGCTTATAATTATTTCTAGATTTTTCTACTATATGGAATTTTCGCATCTTGCTGAAAACGCCTTTTACACGTCTTTTTATTTCCTGGCTATTATTTTAACAGTTTAAACAAACTTATGAAAAAGAATTCTAACAGCCTGGACAAATAGCCGGGCAGACATTGAATTGGCCATGACGACTTTTGACTAGCTCGGTAAAGTACTGAAATGGAATATATGAATAAGGCATAATTTAATGATTTCGATTTTTCTCCAACTGAAAATACAAAATCTAATTGGATTTTTCTTCTTGTTTAACCTTTACCAACAGTTCAGCCAGAATGACTAATGAATTGGATTTAAATTTGAAAAATTAGTTAGATCAGTGTGGCTCCTCATCGTATGCATCTATGTCAAATTAAAACTCAATCAACTAATTAGAACTATATAACTCAAGGTACGGCTAGAGAAAACTGACTGAATTAATTAAAATTAAAATTACTATTAAAAACTGACCTTCAGCTCTAATTCAAATTAATAAAACACTGAACTACATCAATTCCACTTCAACTCAATCCGCTTAATTAATTATAGGAGATTTTCAACTATCCATCTATTTAAATTAAATCAGTTGGTACAAGATGACCGAATCAATCATTTTGTAGGATGTCGGGTCTCTCTCCTTTTATATATATATAAAACAATGTACCTTTGCTGATTAATTGGTTTGCTTTTCTAATCCCAAATTAGGAGAAAGGAGTCCACAATTTAAGATGCTGCCACTTTTACCGTGGAGGGTGTCTCGGGGAATTGAAAGTTGGTCTTTACAGTTTACTGGTCAGGGAGGAAGAGAAAAAGATGAATGTATGGAAAGTTAATGTTGCAGTCCAATGAGATCAGTGCGTCCAAGAGGAATTAATTATTAATTAATTTGAAAGGGTCAAGGAATGGATCCTCTCATTATCTCCAAACTACTCTCTCCCTCTTCAAATATTCCTCCAATACCTCTTCTAAAGTATATTCTAAAAGAATTTCTTAATTTTTATTATAAGTCATTTGGTAGATTATCAATTATGTTTTTTCAATATTACCCATATTTAAATTTATTAACTGTGACAGAAAATATAATGTAAATTTAAAATTTAAATTTTTTCATTTAAATAGATGTAACATTTGAAGTTTATTCTATTTTAATTTCAAATAAAGTTAATGCCTTAACCAACTCTTTTTTTTTTCTTCTGATAAAATAATTAGAGGTGCCTTATAATAAAGATTAGAGGATTGTATAAGAAAAACTACCTTATTGTTTGACATTACAACTAAATTGCAAATTTTAACAACTCAAATGATAGGTACTCAATGCTTTTTTTAAGTACAATTGTCGAATTCAAATTTTAATCACATTTTCCCAAATTGTCTTTCATAAAAGGATATTATTATTAAATTAGAGAAGAAAAATATTAACCACAAATACATTTTAATCTGAATATTTCAATTTCAAACATAATTACTAAAATTAATTAATTTTTTTAAATTGTGTGAATTGATAGAAATTCTCTTATAAAAAGAGAAATAATCAAAATGCAGATCGAGTAATTCACCTTCAATATTCTTATATATAATCTTTGGACGAGGTCCCTGGCTAACCAACGAATTTTGAGAAAATGATGAGAATTTCTTGATAATTCAGACGAATTGATCAGTGCTCCACTATTCATTCTCTAGAGTCTAGACGCGATATATACTTTGGGTTGATTCCTGGCAATAAAACAACGTCATCAGAGTACATGAGAGAGAAACAACAAATTAAATAAAAAGTGGGGGCAGTATCTGATTCATTATTCATTCTAGATTATTAACCGTCATCTTTGTTGAGATAACACAAAATCCAATGCCAAAAAGGGTGGTCCGGTCTTGAGAGAACCTTCCATTTATGGAAAAGTTTTATTTTCGTATCAAACAGGGTCTTCTACTTTGGGGTAGGCTTCTTGCTTTGAGGTGCCCCACCGCTCATTTGCAGCATGATAAAGATTTAGACAGTCTAAATTTAATTTAAATTATTTTAATTTAAAATTTTTATTTTTGTTTTATATTTATTAAAATAATTTTTTAAAAAAATTATAAAAAAATAATAAATCTATTGGATCTTTAATTTGGTCCGTTTGAATATTAAATTTACATTGTTTAAAATGTATTTGAATAATTAATTTATAAAAATTATAAACACTTTAACATTAAATTGGAACGTCTAGATTAAATATAGACTATTCAGATTAACAATGCACAAAATTATTACAATTTTTTATTATTTTTTATAATTTTTTAAATATAAATAAAAATAAAAGATTTTAAAGTTAGAGCACTTAGATCAAGATTTTGTCATGGTGCAAAGTAGGGAGCCAGGTCCTTCTATTTTCTATATACCATGTCTCCTATGGAATATATAGCTACTTGACTTGTTTAATCTGCCAAGATAAGACGTTGAGTGATGAGTATGCATTTTTATTAACTCATGATTATAAGTAAATTAGAATTAGCATTTTTTTTATCGACAAACATTAATATATCTTGCAAAGATGCAACTCATATGTTACCAAATAGATTCAAATTTAAATCCTATTTCAAATACAAAGATCATGTTTGTGAACAGTACATAAAATTTAATTATCTCTGCAAACATTAAGGTATTGTTTGGTTAGGATGATTAAGTGGAGGGGAGAGAAAATTTTTAAAATTTTCCCTCTCCTCCCCTCCAAAACCTCCCCCCAAAATTGGGGGGAGCCCCTCTCCCTCCCCTCCCCTTCCCTTGAATCAACAAAGCTTAAGATGTCTTAATTTGATGATAAGTTCTTGAACTTAATTTGTCTAAAATTCTCTCTTTTAATAATTTAAAAAAAAAAAGCTTAAAATGCTACTAGCTAGCCAAACACACGCGCCGACCTTCTTTATTTTGTTTTTCTACAAGTTTTTTTAGCTTAAACTCGAAGTTTTGTGCGGAAAATCTTCATAAATTTAGGTCATGCATGTGCAAATAAATGATGGCTTGTCATATTACATTGGTTTTAATAAAATAATGGACAAACTAACAGCAAACATGAGTTATTTGTATGAACGTTAGAGATCAGAAGATCGCAAAGTATAGGAATTTGAAAGCGAGGAAGCCCCGTGCCAGGGGACTTGATGCTGTCGAATGGATGAGTCGCAGCGTCTTCTTCCCGCACATGAGACGACATCGATCCATCACTTCATACGACCATCCATGTCTTTCTGCTGTCCGCTAGCTCCCACAGGTCTTTTGTAGTCAGCAGCAGTAATATCTCATCGCTTTTATGGGCATGCACAATCACACAGATTTGGGTATACGTGGGCGCAGTTTCAGACGCAAGAAGTGGGATCCTTCAGATGAATACAAGCACATAAAAACTTCGATCTATCTCCTTAAATAAACACGAACACGCGCCCAGAGAGACACAGGGGAATAATTCATTGCGAAGGCAGCCGGATTTTTTTTTAGTT